AACGAGGTCAACCCACTTAAATATGTTTGCTTTATATTATTATTTTAAACTTGTGTGAATGCACTCTTTTCTTTATTTTAAGTCTAACTTTCCTATTATTCTCTCTTCATTCCTTCATACTATTCTTCTCTGCGATTCCATTTCGTCAGAGGACCCACCTCGGCTTGAAGCCATACACTTGTGCGGTCTGCTCAAAAGAGTTCTCCGCCTCCAGCAACCTACTGACGCATATGCGCGTCCATACCGGCATCCGGCCATATACATGTGACCTTTGTGGTCGACAGTTTGCCACATCCAGCAACCTCCAAGTCCATAGGAACGTACGTTTGTAACATGCAGCATCCTTTTTGTTTATCCTTTTGTCTTCTAAAACTAGTTTAATTGCGTCAAAAATGCTTAGCACGAAGTGCTAAAAAATCATCACATTAGGTAGGGTTAATTTGAGAAAAATTCATTGGATTCGAAGCAGTGCGAAATCTAGTCACTGGTCAGCTTAGTCAATGTCTCTCTTTATACTCTCAAGTTTTCGTTTTCTGTATACAATGGAGGTTTGGGGGTTGTAGATTGAACTAATCAGCTACTTCTTAAATTGCCGTTAAAAAAATATATCTCTATGAATCTTACGAAAGAAAAATAAAACTATGAAAGGATGTGGTCTCACCGGAAACGGAAGGAGGATTGTCGCGTAATAAAGACAGTTGTATTGTGCGAACAAGTCCTCGGCTCACCGTACTGCAACCCAGATAATACTGTGCTTAGCTTTCGTCTATTCTCTAAAAGACATCATCAGAACAGATATCGATACTTTACAAAATAGGTCACAAATATACTAAACCAACAAAGGTGGCCGGCAGCAACCCTAGTCGCCTTTTTTATTCACCTAACATGGCGATCTTAATGAGACTTCCCCTGATTTGGTTAGCTACTGCAACCCTGCTTTCATGTTTGCAAGTAAATAAAGTTAGCTTCCCAAAACGGAAATGCGTTCTGTGGCAGCTGTTTTATCAAACAAAACCTAGTGTACGATTAAAGATATAAAGACCAAGATGTTGTGGCCTGTGGTATGGTCGCAATCTGCTTTAAATTTATATAAGTGGGTTGACCTCGTTGTCTTGTTGCC